CATTGATTGAAACAGTTTATATTCTCAGCTACATTGCTCTGATGTTTTTATGTATTTACCAGCATTCATTTTTCCTTTTTGGGCTGGGTGTAGTGGCCCCTGCCCTTAATCACAGCACAGACAAGTGGATCTCTGTGTGTCTGAGGTCAACAGGGTGAAAGGAAAGGGCTGCTTCCTGCAGTTCTTCTCTGCCCTCCGTGTGTGCGCTTGGAGGAACTGTAAAAACATGTTTAATCCAGAAAAATACATAGTGAATGTGAAGCAATAGCTGTTATTATTTTAATTTTCATTTCAGTAATAATAATGTTGAGCATTTATGCACATCCTTAGGAGCCTTTACAATTTTAAATATATAAAATAAAGTTCTATTTTTAATATTCATTTTCCTTTTGTTGTTCTTACTTTTGTTGTCATATCTCAAAATCCATTGCTATATCTAAGATCATAAAGATTTACCTCTATATTTTCTACCAAAAGTTTTAAATCATAAACTAGGACTTTGATACATTTTAAGTTAGCTTTTGTGTGTGGTATGAGGTAGGTGTCCATTTCATCTTTTTTCATGTTTATATCTTTTGTGTTCTATGGTCATTCATTGAAAAGACAGTTCTCCCCCTCATATTTGAAATATTCATATTTCAAAAATAAAAATCAAAGTATCATTCTGAATGATATTGAAATCCTTGTCAAAAAACCAACTGATCATGGCTAGAACAGTGGTTCAGCGGTTAAGAACACTTGCTGCTCTTCCAGAGGTCCTGAGTTCAATTCCCAGCAACTGCGTGGTAGCTCACAACCAGTTATAATGAGCTCTGAGGCCCTGTGCTGTCATGCAGGCATACAAGCAAATAGAGCATCCATATGCATAAATAAATAAATCTTTTAAGAAAATGAGCACTTACTGCTTTTGTAGACCTGGGTTTGCTTCCTGGCACCTACATGGCTGCTCACAACCGTCTGGACTTCCAGTTCCAGGTTATCTGATGCCCTCTTCTGGCTTATGCAGGCACCAGGGCATATGCATGTATGCATATAATACTTGCAGGCAGATGCATTTACACATAAAATTAAAATGAATAAATCTTAAAAATAGGGAAAAAAGCTGATAGCCTGGAGTCTCAGTTACAGTCCATTTTTGTGTTTTCACATGTTAACACTTCTCTTTTGGATTACTCTAGTTTTTTTCATGTGATTTTAAACCAGAAAATGCAAATGTGTGTGTTTGTGTGTATGAAATCCTGAGGTCAACCACAGCTGCTTTCCTCAGTTGTTTTCCACCTCGTTTGAGATAGGGTCTCTCCTTGAACCTGTAGTTTGCCAGTTTGGCTAGCCTGGCTGGTCCGAGAGCACCTGAGATCCTCCTGTCTCTGCTTCCTTAGTGCTGAGGTCATGAGTTCATTTCACTGTGCTTGGTGTTTTACTTGGGTTCTGGGTATAAAATACAACTCCTTATACTTTCTTGCTAAGCACTTTAACGGCTGAGCCATTTTCCCAGTCCTCCACGTTTTTTTGTTTGTTTGTTTGTTTTTGTTATTGTTTTTTTCTTTTCCAAGATGGTTTAGGTTATTCAGGGATTTTTATGTTTCTACATGAGTTTTAGAATTAACTATCCTGTTTTTAAAAAAAACTCCTGTCATCTTAGCTGGATCATTTTTCTCATCTATGATGTTTTTCATGCACTTAGGAATTCCTTTATTGTTTTCAGCAATATTTTTAAAAATTCATTTATGTTTATTTTATGTGCTGTAAGTGTCAAGTCCCCTGGAACTGGAATTACAGACAATTTTGGGCTGTAATTCCAGAACCACACTGGGACTACCAGACTGGCCAAAGCGGCTGACAGAGGCGGGACATCATGGTTTTTTGTCTCCTTCAGGGTATGGAAATGGTCTTGGGAAAAAGTAGTTAATATTGACAAACTCCGAGAGATTACACAGCTAGCAGATGAAAGTCCATCCATTTTTAGAAATCGGTTACAAGAGACCATGGTCCAATATACCAGGCTAGATCCAGCCTCCCCAGCAGGAGCCACGGTTGTGGCTACCCATTTTATTTCTCAGTCAACACCAGATATTAGAAAAAAGTTTAAAAAAAAAAAAGGCTGAGGAGGGTCCTCAAGCCCCTATACAGGAATTGGTAAAAATGGTCTTTAAAGTTTTTAACGCCCAAAAAGAAACAACTGAGTCTTCCCGACAGACAAGGCTACAACAAGCAGTTAATCTGTAGGCTCAGACCTTAGCAGCTGCCCTAAAGCCACAGGAAGGGGGACAAGGGAAGCCAACCACAGGTCTCTACCCTGATGGAGTCCAGCCTAAGTCAACCTCATAGGCAGGCTATTACAAGTATGGCCTAAATGGTTATGTGGCACAGTATCGCACTAAGTCTTCTACAAGGCCATGCCCTACCCGCCAGTAACTTGGACACTGGAAATCACAATGCCCCCATGCAGGCTTGTCCTCGATGCCACGCCATGGAGGTCTGGTCTCACCAACATCAACAGCCAGCCTTCGAACTTCTCAGCCTTGCATAGGATTGACACTGCCCATATTTGATATGTCCTGTAACCCTATCCGAGCCTATGCAGGTAGTGGGTAAGTCCATTACTTTTCTTTTGGACACGAGAGCTACCTATTCTGTTCTAACATCTCACTCGGGCCTTACCCTCCTGTGGGCAAGGACTCCATCAGGGTAGAGCCTTGTGGTTGGCTTTTCTTGTCCCCCTTCCTGTGGCCTTAGGGCAGCTGCTAAGGCCTGGGCCTGCAGATTAACTGCTTGTTGTAGCCTTGTCTGTTGGGAAGACTCACCAATTTTGGTTATGGGGGTCGATGGGACCTGTGCCTCCCCACTTAAAACTTTGCCATTGCCCTGCATTCTTGCAGGACAATTTTTCTCTCATTATTTCTTAGTGATACCTGCTTGCCCAGAACCTTTACTGGATAGAGATATCCTTAGCTAACTCCTAGGTCTCTTGAATGTCAATGGACAGGACCTCACACGACACCTGCCTTCTCACCTCCCCCAAGGAACAGATGCCTAGCACCTCCGGGATGACAATACACAGGATGCCTTTCCAGCTATACCTCTCACTGAGCATGGACCCACCAATACCCAGCTCTCCCCTTTCCCATGTCAACCCATGCCAGTAGGAAGTAGCCAGACTTGAGTCAATGCCCCTTTTTCCAAAGAGAGCCTAAATGTTAGTCAAGATATCACCTCAGCTTCCTGTCACCCCTTATACAAACAGTCTGGAATATAAGTCCCAGTCTCGGGCCTCCATCTTTGGAGGCCCTTCCCCTGTGCCTGCAAAGCCTTGTCCCTTTCTTGGAGGAGTGTCAAGGGTCCCACCAAAACCTTGACCCCTCCACCGGAGGAGGGTCAAGACAACCCAAGAGCGCAGAAATCCCATTAAAACCTGGATATCCTTTAATTTGGTTTGCTGAGATTTGGCTTGATTAGGATTTTTGTGTCGGCAGAGAGCTCGTGTTAGGAATATTTCTAATAATAATAATAATTTGATGGTTGGGGGTCACTACAACATGAGGAACTGTATTAAAGGGTCTCAGCGTCAGGAAGGTTGAGAACCACTGCAGTAGATGCTCTCCTCCCTCATCCACAGCCTGCATTTCTAACCATTTGGCACTACTGCCTCTTATTTCCTCTATGAATTACTGATGGCAATAGTTTGCATTATGCACAAAAATCTTATTTTCATCAATACATTTTAAGGCATGACTTTTGATGGGTCTATTTTATTTTCTCATGTGATCTATTCAGAATTTATTTAATGCTTCAGGTGTTCCACCAAATCTCAGTATTTTATATAGCTGTCTATTTCTCTTTTCAAGTGTTTATTTGATTTATGTGTATTAGTGTTTTGTCCGCACTTATGTCTGTGTGAGGGTGTCGGATCCCCCGAAACTGGAGTTACAGACAGTTGTGAGCTGCCATGTAGATCTGGGAATTAAACCCAGGTTCTCTAGAAGAGCAGCCAGTGCTCTTAACTGCTGAGCCATCTCTCCAGCTCTTTAGCCTTCTGCTTCTTTAGGAGCGAAGTCTTTAGGGCTGAAATGAGTGGGTTGAGAACTCTGAAGTTCTCTATATAATTTCTGATGAATCTTAAGAGGTCAGTGTGAGTGTCTCCCCTTAATTAAAGTGACCCTGTTCTGAGTCTGCTGTTCCACAGATTCATCCTCTAAGTCAGTCTACTTCCTATTTCTGAAGCTCTTCAATTTTCATTCCTATAAGCAAATCACCTCCTTACTTTCTGATTGATATTATCATTCTTGTCCCCCAGTCAATGCAGGAAATAGAAGTTTACCAGTTCAAACTGCGTTTCGACACCTCTGCATTATCATTGTATTTTGTTTAGTTTGGGAAGGCAGCCACACTCTGGCCAGCTTTTTTTTTCAGTTAGTCCCTTTTCTTTATCAATAATATTCGATTACCTGTTTCTGAATGTTATGTTTTCTTTCAGAAAACTGCACCATGCAAAAGTGAATTTACATGTAAGACAAATGTTGAAAAATTCTGTCTTAGAAAATACCAAAGAAAAGTCTGTGACTGCAAATTTTTGCATTTGACTGATTCAAAGACAGCATTTGAAGTTAATATTTTTGCACATGGGAGACAAGCATTATCTTTGGGGCCTTCATTTAAATACACGCATCTGCATATCCATATTGATATCATCAGATACATTAAACTAAAAACATAAAGTTATAAAAGGGGTTAAACTGATAAGCAACCTAAGGTCTTAAGAGAGCTAAAGACACCAATTAGGAGACTTGAAGTTGACTTTGGTTTATTGTCCAGGCATGCCCAGGACTTGCAGAACTACATTTCCCAGAGTGCTTAGAGCGAACAGAGGCCTCGTTCTTCAGGGGAGCGTCAGTCCCGCCTTCTCACTCTAGTGATTGGTCGCTTCACTTCCGCGCCTCTGCGGTTCTCTTCTGCCATTGGTGAATGGTCTGCCGCGGAGTTTACTCTTTCCCGGTCCTGTCAAGCACCTGGCCCTCGCTCCCGTACCAAGATGGCGGCAGAAGCAGCTGGTGGGAAATACAGGAGCACAGTCAGCAAAAGCAAAGACCCCTCGGGGCTGCTCATCTCGGTGATCAGGTGAGGGAGGCAGGAGGCCGGGTGAGGACAGGGCAGCGGCTCGCCCTCCGCTGCGGAAGGGAGAGGCGTCGGTCGGGCCCCGCCCGCCGGCCCTTCCCTTCCTCCTGGCCTCCCCAGCCCCTCCCCAGGGCCTGTGGTCCTGCGGGGCGGCCCCCAGGACTCCCCAGTTTCTCTGGGTCCCTGCTTAAGGAGTGGAGCCCGTGCCTCAGTTTCCCCGGGGCACGGTCCTAACGCCGGTCCCCGACTCTTAAAGCTGGCTCGCTTGGGTGCGGGCAGCAGCCCGGCGCAGGTGTGCTCATTCATTCCTCAGACAGGTCCCGGTGACCCCGGTGCAGATCGCACTCTGAAGGGCCAGCCGGGCCAGCCCTGGCCGGGCTCCCCGGGGCCAGCCCCAACTCTCCTGGCAGGAGTTGCAGAGTTCCTCTCTGGCGCTCTCCCCCACCTCTGAATAGCCACAGCTATTCCCCAGTTGATCCCAGTTGAGCTGGCCAGGACTGGGGATTGAAGAGACACATGTGTTTCTTAGTTTTGTTGGCCGTCTTATTCCAGTGTTTTTTTTTTTTTTTACCCCCAGAACTGTACCAAAACAGAATGTCAAGTTGCCCTCCGCGTTTACTCTCCTCCTGAAATAATTGGGTGAGCGTGGGAGTGGTGGACTATTTACTGGTCAGTTTTTAAAAACATGTTTAAGACGTAAAGCAAATTTAGACCAGCCTGAATAAAATGCATTATGACACAATTAAACGCTGTTGTCATTTGAATTTCACGCCACGTGTTTTCATGAGACAAATATGCCTTCTCCCACTTAGCCTGCAGTTTGATTTGAGTTCTTGATCTAATGATATAACCACTCAAATGGTCCTGATGACTTTTTTTTTTTTAAAAAAAAACCCAGGACCCACTAGAATCTGGTAGGTTGTCAGCCCTTGAAAGAATGGATAAGTCAAGCTTTAAAAAGTTTACCACTTAGTGGACTGAAAAAGACTTATCTATGGTTTTATGTCAGAGACAGTAGTTTAGACAATGACGTGTTAAATTATTATCAATTTTATTTTACAAATGAGAGGATAGAACTTTCTGTGAAAGTAATATACTTTGTAGGTTACAAAGAGAAAATAGTGTAACTGCGGACTCATAGTCTTTAACAATATACAGCACAGGTTTATCACCTGATATTAAAATCTCAATCAAAGCCCATCTTAATTTTCTCTGAAATTCTAGTATGAATGTTGGGAATCTTTTTTCTGAACTTTTTTTTTTTTTTTATTCTTTCTCCTGCCTGATAGTCAACACTCACATAAACAATAGGTATTTACTGAAGTGTGGTGTCTGGCATTTATTTAATGCTTAGGAAGTATTTGTTAATGAACGAATGCCCCAAGCTTTGCAAAGATAAGTCAGATAGAATATTACTCCTGAGCGTATATTCTCCTTGTGAGATAAAGATGTATAAAGAATATGAGAGGACTTGGAGAAAGATGGAATGTTACAGTTTGTGGATTTATGGAAGGTGTGATCACTTCGGTGGAAGTGGAGGGAGTTAGGGACAGGAACAGCTGCAAACAAATGTCCCATCCTCTGTGCTTCCGCTTCTGTAGGCTTTGCATGTCAGATATCTTAAATGGCAGTTCTATTTACCCTCAATATGTGATATTTAAACACTGAAAAAGGACTTAAAGGTTTTTGACTGATACTGGTATGGAGACATACATTTTCTTTGAAGGGCTAATTCTTGGCCATCTTCAGGGGGGCATCACCCACTGCTGAATAGTGTACAGCATTGTTTTGTATTGAGTTATGGTCCCAGTCTGGCTTCAAACTCATTATGTAAATAGGAGTAACCTTGAACTCTTCCAGCAGCCAAAGTGCTAGTATCACAGGTGTGCATCACAACTCCTGGCCTTATGCCTTATTTGGTTACCCCCTTCCCCAAGACAGGGTTTCTCTGTGAAATAGTCTTGATTGTCCTGGAACTCACTTTGTAGACTTGGATGACCTCGAACTCACAGAGGTCTGCCTGTCTCTTCCGAGAGCTGGGATTAAAGGTATTGTGCCACCCCTGCCCGGCTGGTTATCTGTCTCTTAAATCAGTCTGTATAACCTTTACTTTTCCACCATGATTTTGGCCCAGGCATCCTTTCCTTTGACTTCTGTTGTGAAGTACTGCTTTAATTTTGATACCTAATGCGATCATGTCAGAACACTTGGATGACATGATTCCTTTATTGTGCTTTTTACAATTATGCTAGTAAGGTATGTCCAGACCTATCATTTTAGGGAAGTTTAGTTAAGATTGGGGTTCATTTTAATCCCAGCACTCGGGAGGCAGAGGCAGGTGGATCTCTGTGAGTTCGAGACCAGCCTGGTCTACACAGCTAGTTCCAGGACAGGCTCCAAAGCCACAGAGAAACCCTGTCTCAAAAAAAAGAAAAAGAAAAAAAAAGATTGGGGTTCATGTCATAAGACTAGATGTTTTTTTGTGCTGGAGTGTTGCTGTTTGTGTTCCAGCATTCCTTTGAACACAGAAACGTTTGGCTTTGGAACGAGGGAGGATGTTGCCAATCTCTGCTGGTGTTTCCTTCCTGATTTTCTTATGTGCTTAACTTAGTGGTTTAAATTTCATAAACAGTGCATAGGAAGAGAATGGTGCTGTGACTTTGGTAGTGAGATTTGGGGTGAGAAAGGCCCTAGCTGGAAGACCAGGACTGTGCATTTCTTATTAGTGACTGTGTGCCATTCAGGTTTCTGCTCTTCAAATCTGCTCAGCTTGCGTCCTTCATTAATCTTAGATCTTCCCATATACTTGTTACCTCCTTCCACCCTTAACGTTTTTCAGATCTCTTGAAATACTAGACCTTTTCTTGTTGCTTTGGCAACAAGCTTTACACAGCCCATTTTAAGTTTGTGTTTCTAAAGGCAGAGTATTCCTGTAAGGATACTTGCTACATGCTAACTAGACCAGTCATTTCCTCACAAAATTAAGTCAGTGGCAGAATCCACTGTCTTTTAAAGAGCTTAATTGTTTCATCTTTATTGTTCATGTCACAGCTGTTTTTCTTCTTTAGGATTGTTGAAAAATTTCCTTCGGTTCTCTTTCCCAAATGTGTAAAATATCATTTCTACACTAGGTTATATGTTGTAACATTTTATATTGCTTTTAAAATGATTCTATTTATTTATTTATTTGTTTGTTTATTTTTATTTTAAGATAAGTTCTCACCATTTAGTCTTGATTGGCCTGGACTTGCTATGTAGACTGTGTTGGGCTTGGACTCAGAGATCTATTTGCCTCTGCTTCCCAAGTGCTGGGATTAATGATGTGAACCACCACACCTGGCTAACATGTTATTCTTAATAGATAGAAGAGAAGAGCATTTATTGTTGTAGACCCTTTTTAGTACTGAATTAAACTCCAGATAAGGGCTAATGTAAGGATTGTGCTAGTGTACACAAAGGAAATACCCCCGTCTCTTTGCCATTTACTCTTTTTGTTTGCATATGGGTTTTGAGGCAGGTTTACATGTAGTTCACACTGGCTTTGAACTTGCTATGTAGGCACAGATAATCTTGAACACAGATTCTTCTGACTCCAGCTCCTGATGCTGTGGTACAGACCTGCCCCAACGCACCCAGTTCTCGTTGCCATTTTCTAACATGGTAGTGACTAATTAGATAATGACTCAGTGCTTTGTGAGTATCAGAGTCCATCACTGAGAATTTAAAATAAAAACTAGAAATACAGTGCAATTGCAGTATCTCTCTCTCTTTCCGAGACAGGGTTTCTCTGTGGTACATCTCTGTCTGTTCTGGAACTCACCTTGTAGACCGGGCTGGCCTTGAACTCACAGGGAGCCACCTGCCTCTGCTTCCCAGGTGCACCATCACCACATTGCATTGCAATTGCAGTCTTATATTTGATGGGAAGGGACCTAGAAAAATATGTAAATTAAAATCTTTTATCATGTATAAACCCATAGTAAACACGTTTCAGGCCAGTCAGGTGTGTGATGGTCTGCTCTTGTGTTTGTTTAGAACTCCTTAGGTCTGTGAGTAAGGGTTTTGGTGAGGAGAGACAGTGTTTGTGATTTGATCTTTTGGAGACTGCCACTAAGTGTAGATTTTGGGTTTAGTCACTATTGGTCCTTTACAACAGAGCTAATAGGGTGGGAAGAGTCAAGTTTGGATAGCTTTGCGCGCGCGCGCACACACACACACACACACACACACCATGTCTTCTTTCCGATTGATTACCCCACTTCAACCTTTTGTTTGGTGTGAAGTTGGATTTGTGAAATAAGCAAGATGGCATTTCGAAGATGCTATTTTATTTTTGTGAGTTCTTGTCAGATTTTTAATTGGGGAATGTGTCTACCACTTGCTGTTAGGTGATTTGCTTTCCAATTAAACATTGACTATGCCTTTTTTGTACGTCAGCCTGCAAATAGCCAGTTTAATTGGGGAGACAGACTCTGGTTGTGACTTAAGGAGACCTTATTGAAACATTGGAGCAGAGCTGTTGTAGACAGTCTGGTTACAGATGTCAAGGAGATTTGAAGGCAGTTGGAGGCTCATATTTTCATCAACTTTTATGTCTTCACAGAAGTTGGAATTTCAAAAACGTAGAAAATCCTTTATTGTAGGCTCCTGTTAAATTCCTTCCTTCCTCTGTAGAGGATATTTTGGTCAGCCCGTAGTTAATTCAAAGTAAAGTTTGTTGAGGGGTCCTGGCTTTGATCTGGTCTTTGAACAGATACCTTTGAGGTTTGTGACAGTTTGTGGCAGGAAGAACTTGGCCACTCTGTTTTGAGCTGGGTCCCAAGAGCTGTGTTAGGCATAGATTCTGTTTCTAGCACCGTCTCTCTTCATCTGAGCCCAAACCAAAATCGCCTTTAGGTTTCTTATCCTGTTTCCCTCAGCCTTGCTCCCTCGGTAATGCAGTGCTGTTTGCAGGTTACTCTCAGAAGTAACGTGTCAGGCCTGGAGCTGGAGCTCAGTCAAAG